ATAAAATTGGAAATAAAAAAATTAAAGAAATTAACATTAAGTTTAATTTAAATATTATTTTTTAATTATATTTTAATAACTTTTTTTCTAAAAGGAATAATTTAATATATACTATTACCATATTAAATAAGTTAAATAAAAGATATTCATAAGATTTTAATGACTACTTTTCTTAAGTTAAATAAAAAAAATTGAGTTATGAATGTTTTTGAAAAATTTCATTTTCACATCATTCATTCATTTTATTTTACAAAAACACAATCAAACACATGCTTAGAAATTTATGCATGTTCTCAAACTTCTAACTGATTAGTTAGTAAATATCAACACAAATGTTTGAATTTTGTATAGTTTTTTCAAAGCTGAGAAATGCGAGTTGTGGGAGGAATCCAGAGAATAGTTTCAATATATTGTTAACAACCATTTAAAGAATCTTGGAGAATCAAACAAAACTAAGTGACTGGATGGAACTCATAGTGGACCTTATTATGAGCCCATTATAGATTGCCCTAGACCCGCTAGAAGATTTGGAGTGTGTGTAATATAAACCCACTATAGCCGATATTTGTCCAGTTTCCTACAACGACCCTACCAGGGGAACATTCGTACACAATCGCCTTAACTAGTGTAAACTAAATATAAAAAATAAAAATAAAAATAGTGAGAGGTGTGATGGTTAAATTCTATGTTTTCCTTAAATTTTCATAGTAATAGGAAGTTATAATATCATGCACATATACCGGACATGAACAACTTGTGGTATTATCTTTCTTCAATTTATAGTACCTGTAAATAATGATCATGTAGCTGCAATGTTAATTATGAATAATTACATAAATACAAATGTCAAATTTTGTTAAAATTTTAGTTAGATTATACTTTTGATTCTTTATATTATTTTTAAGATTTATTTTAATTCCTTATTTATTAAAATATTTATTTTTGTGGATTAATTTGATGTTTTGATCATTTTTAATTTTACAACACAATTTGTCATATTATATATATCATTTGAACAATTAAAAAATATATAGTATGAAATTTTTATTTTTTTTTCAATTTTCACCACATGTATATAATCCTTTTAGTTTGAACTTTAATTGTATTTAATAATTTTCATATAAATAAATCTAATGATAAAGTTTCAAGTCTTAAATTAATAAAAAAGAATTAAAAAATATTATTTTTTAAAATACGAGTTATTTTATTTTATTTTTTAAAATACGAAGTTAATCATATGGTTGGTTTACGAAATTAATTTTGCTTAGATAAAATTATATTGAAACTTATTAAAAAAAACTATTTTTTAAAGTGTTAAATTGTACAAGTTTATCATTTTATTAACTATCAATTATTTTCATATGGAAGTAAGTTTGACAAGATTTGATGGACAGATCGAAGAGGACAACAGGCCTACGAGTAATAATTTGACTTAATTAAAATTTTACAAAAAGCTTATTATAAATGTGTAAAATGGGTTATTATTGCATTTAGTAGGTAAGGAACCCACCCAAGAGTTTCACTTGGAATAAGAGTAGGTAAGGCCTGATGGAGCATTATAATTTGATAATTGAGTATCACCTTTTCTCACTAATATAATTTAATTTTGACGATGAATGATTGAAATTTTATATTGCTAACTTGTACTTTATGTGTAATGTGTTATCTCGTGATTAGATTTTTTTTTTTTTTACAGTGGCAATCTTTTTCAAAACATAATGTAGTAACATCATTTTAAAGTCCAATAACATTACATTCTTCTTAATACTCCATCCATTTCAAAAAATTGATATATAAAATTAGTACATATATTTTAAAGAGTATTTAATAAATGTCAAATATTAATATATATTCAATCTAAAATACTCTTATTCATTTTTTTTGTTACATGAAGAAAAGAAATAAAAAAAATGAAGACAAATTAAAAAAAATTAAAAATTATGTTTTTAACAAAACTTATGTTTATAGTATCCATCAAAAGAAGCTTCCCCAACTCAGGAGGTTGTTGAAAAAGCATTTGAAATTTGGTTCCTACATTAAGGATTGTCTGATTTGCTTCTATCGCCCTTGAATTAACTCACTCTTATTTTAATATAAAATATAAGTATGTTTATTGTTTGTTAAAATAATTTTACATTAAGATTAAAATGTTTTAAAATAAGCTATGAATATCACATTAAAAAAAACAACTTTAGATATTTTAAATATATTTTATCCAATTTTTACAATAAGACATTCTTAATTCAATCATACAAATTAATATAATAAATTATATTAGTGATTTTATTAAGTTCATTAGATAAAATCATGATGTACCAGTTTTATCCTTATTTATCATTATTTTTTTTTTTATGATAGGTGGAGATATTACTCAAATCAAAGCTAACTTATGCATAAGATACCAATAATTGATAGATGACAATCGTAAAGTTTAAAAAATAAGAGAGAAAATATTTATTTTTTAAATTATCTTTGCATCATCCAACAACAAAAAAATACATTATCACAATCTATAATAAGCGAAAAATATGAAAAATAATTTAATATTTTACAAAAATTATAAAGCGACTTATAAAAAAAACCAAATTATGTCTCATAATAAAGACATAAGAGAATATAAAATAAATAATTATAATTAAAATTTATTAAGCACAATAATTTAAAAATAAACTAATTAAAATTCTCATAATTTTGTACTTTACAAAGTACTTCCTCCATTCGTTTTTAGAAAAATACTATTTATTTATTTGTTGTTTTTAGACAACATTAGTTATATATATATTTTCAATTATACTCTTATTTCTAACGTAACTTTTAATTTATTTGTACTTCTTTGATCCATAAAAGTGTGTGTGTATGTATATATATATATTTATAAACTTATAAATTAATTAAAAAAACTAACTAAAATTTATAAGTTATAAGTTAGGAGCTTAAAATAAATTCAAAATTTATAAACTAATTGATTAATTGAGATTTTTAATAAAATTAGTTGAAAAATATAAAATGATAAAAAAAACATATTTATTTATTTGATAATAGTTTTGTCACTTTCAATATTCGAACATGTTTACTTTTATATTATAAAAGTAAAATACGTGAAAGGCAAAAAAAAAAAATAATAAAAGCGAGAGAATGATAATATAGGTAAAAGAGTTTGCAAATTAAAATGAATTTTAGTTAAATTAATAAATATAAAATTGTTAAGAGTTTAAACGTTATAAATTACTTTGATTAACTTATGAGAATAAATTATAAACTCTTAAAAATAATTTCTTTTATCTAAAAAATTTATTTTGATCAAATTAATTTATGTGAATCGAATAAATTTATAAATTTCTCAAATGTATTTTCACACACATTTATATTGTAATTAAAAATAAAAATGTTATAGTAAAAAAAACTTTAATACTATTCTAAAAGGAAAAAAAAAAAAACTATTGCAATTTGAACGAATGTAATAAATATATAACTCATAATAATTAATAAGAGGCTTACTTCGATCGTCAGTTTATGCTGGGACGGATTCTAGAGGATAAATAAATACCAGTAACTAAGAAGCATTTATTTCAGCACCATGATATAAATGGCAACATGGCATTTAAGGTTCCTTTCTCTTTTGTTCTCACTTTTTTTCTTCCAATTGTTGGTGTAGAGGTGCACTCATTTTTCTCCTAATGGAAGACCCACAAGTTTAATTTAAGATTGATCAAGACAAAAAATAAAAAGGTGAAATAATTTAAAATTCTAATATATAACATGTAAAAATAATAACATATAAACTTAAAGTTTGGGATTAACATAACCGAGTTATTATTGGGTATGTAGATGAACCTGTGCAGCTATTTCAGCTTAATTAAATATTGAGTTCTAAGCAATTTCAGCTTATTTAGATATTGAGTTCTAAGCAGTATATGTAACTGTAATAAATACTTTACTAGAGAACTTTTCTGTGTATAATAGTTTTATCTCCGTTTATCACGAACTCGTCATCCCTTCTTCCGCGTCAGTGCTATAGCGAGAAGATGTTGCTACTCTATACATAACATTTAATTGCAAATTTGTTTTACATCAAAAAATAATTTTTCATATATATGATGCACATGGTTTAAGGTAAAACTCGTGGTTGAATTAATTTGGATATTTCAATTGTATTCTAGCATTTTAAAATTGTCTTTTTTGTACCTTAAAAACAAGTGGACGCTAAAAAAAGCAGTATATTTTTAAAGGAATAGGAAACTTTGGAAAATGGAATTCGACATTTGTCATTAATAATGAATAATGCAAACAGGCAAGAAAGGAAAAATGCCGAAATGAAAAAATATATAATTTTTGTTTTGTTTTGTTTTGTTTGTTTGAAGGCAAAGGCAAAGGTAAGATTAAAGTGGAACATGAGGTACACGAGTAACAGAAAGTGAGAGCACCCTATGAAGTGGCTCGCCCACAAGCAAAAAGGCCATCGGCATGAGACGGGGTCAGAGGCAAAAAAGCAAATTCTGTTGTCACCTATTCTGCAACTAAAAACTACTTAATCCTTTAGATATATGTAAGAAGCTCCCTTTTGTGGTTGAAGGCATTTACCAAGCTCAACAAATTCACAGCTATCAATGAATTTTAGCTAGTCATAGAACTAAGAACAAAATTCAAATAGAGTTTTAAAGTATTTTGATTAAAATTGAAATTTTATTTGAAAAAAAGAAGTAGATGTAAATTGGTAGAAGTAGTGTTAGGTTGAAAAGCATTTAGAAAGAAGTGGTTGAAGTAAAAGCAGGAATGATTGTAGGCATTGAAGTTAAATGGATTTTTGTTAAAACAAAATGGAAACGTAGTGTTTCCAACATGTGGAGCTACGATAGTTGATGGTGGAGCTACGAATTTCGTGTCCAGTGGGCCCCACGTCTTTTTGGCTAGTATCCCTGGTCGTTATCATAGGGATGTGAAACGCCCGCCACGTGGATTCAATTTCACCCAATTATTTATGTCATTTTATCCAACTATGGTAAACCAAAGAAAACTAAATCATCCCAAATTAATTACGTAACATCACCTTATATGTATAAATAAAAATATAAATAATAATACTATGTACTACTACTAGTTTAAACAACTGGAGCAGAATTAAAGAAAAAGAAAAAAAAGCTAAGTGCAGGAGGAATAATAGTTAAAAAAATTAATTTAAATTTGATAGAGTTGGTGGTTTGTTGGTCCAGTTGAGAGCTAAAGTGGAGATATGGTTGGTGGAGGCACCGTCGTGAGCGAGAGCCTTGGCAGCGGCGTCCTTGAGATCCTTGATTCGGTAACGAAGCTTCTTCCCGTCTTGACCTTCCATGAGGCACTTGACAACGGTGGCGATTTCATGTTTGTCCACGAAGCCATTCTGGGAAACATTGGGCCTGAGAGCCACTTTGACGTCGTGCGTGAGCATGAAGGCGTTCATCTTCTGCTCCGCGAAGAGAGGCCAGGCGAGCAGGGGAACGCCATTCACCACGCTCTCCAGGATAGAGTTCCAGCCGCAATGGGTTAAGAAGCCACCCGTGGAGGGATGGGCCAGGACCTGGGGCTGAGGGGCCCAAGAAGGAACCAACAGGCCCCTGCCTTTTGTTCTTTCCGCGAACCCTTCCGGTAACAAGTGTAGCGGATCCGCTTCACTCTCCGCGATGAAGTAAGAGGCGTTTGCGGCTTTCTCGCTTGGGCTTTTCACCACCCACAGAAACCGTTGCCCGCTAGATTCCAGGCCCAGGGCCAGCTCGTTGATCTGAGCAGAGGAGAGGGTCCCACCGCTGCCGAATGACACGAATAGGACACTTCCACGTGGCTGTTCGTCCAGCCAGGCTAAACAATCACAACCGCTGCAACCGGATTCCATTCGGACCAACGGTCCAACCGCGTAAACCGGAGGCTTCCCCGGTTCTTCGCTTTCCAACTCCTTGATTGGACCGGGTTCCAGCTGGAGGAAGCTGTTCACGATGATTCCCTCGGCTTCTCTGTATCTGTTGGCGTGGTGGAGGACCCACTTGTAGGCTTCGTTTTTGCGGTCTTGAAGCGGGTCGAGTAGGTCTTTTCCCTGGAGGGGAATGCAGCCGGGGATGTTCACCGGTTCGGGCAGGTCTTTGAACTCGCACTGGATTTCCTTGTCGAGAGTGCCGAGGTGGAGGAAGAGGGAGAGGACGGTGGCGGTGGAGGGGTAGAAGACGTAGGGGGAGGCGTCGAATTCTTTGGCGACGTCGAAGGCGTCGGTGGCGAAGAGGTCGACGACGAGGGCGGCGAGGGTGTGGGTGGCGGAGAGGGAGTGGAAGGTGTCGCGGAGGGAGGGGAGGGAGCGGAGGACGGTGAGGGAGATTAGGGTTTCGATTTTGGAGTCTTGGGGGAGGTCGGAGAGCGTGACGGGGGGGAGAAAGGTGTGGGAGATGGAAGGGGGGAGGGCCTGGAGGACGGTGGTTTGGGCCTTGGAAGGTGGGCCGTCCGTGGGGATTACGAAGGTGACAGCCAGGTTATGGTAGCGGACGACTCGCTTGGCGAACTCGATCATCGGGATTAGGTGCCCCATGCCGGGCGATGGGAGCATGGCCACCATGGGGGGTGCGGGTGCCACTCTTGCTTCTTGTTTTGCTACTTCCATGGTGTGCTGCTGGAATTCTATTTTCTTAATTCTTGTGATGAACAAGAGAGAGGGGTTTATTTGTATTTATAGCAACTAGGTTGCCTCACTGCCATGGGCATGGCAGCGCTTCAATTTCAGTTAAACTCTTTTTCCTTTTTTTAATAATTGGGAATGGTTATACTTATAATGGAGAGTACTCGTAAATCATATTTAATTGAATAAATATATAGTATATAGTATTATTGTGTGCTTGAGTTGAGGGTGAATAATGGGTGGGAGCAAGTAGAAGAGTTGATGTTTGATTTAATCGGGTATTTACTATTTATGGAGGGAGGCAAAAGGCAATAGCAATGTATTTTATCTAGAAGGAAAGCGATGAGTACGGGCGAATTTCGCAATTTATGTGATGGCTGGGGATGATGTCAATTCAAACGTAAGGCTTATGTGATCAAAACTAAATAATGACCAATTTTTTTTGCTTTTCCTTATGTTCTTCGAACGTGCGGATATCCTACACGTTTTTCATCCCCAGCCCCCTCTCTTCTCTTCTCTTCAACACCGTCTTAACAATTATTAACTCTTCTTAGCCTCCCGCTACACCCTACAGTACACATTGCTTACAACCATTCTTCGCGGTTAGATAATCTAAACACACAAAAATATCCAGACATTATCTCCTGTGAGTTACAACTAACTACCCATATCTTTACAAAATTTTAGTACAACAACATATTGCCTAATGCCTACTTCCATTCCAATATATTAAATATTATATTTAATTCAAAGTTTTAGATAGCAATTAATTAATTATGTCATCTTTCTGAGACAAATTATATTTTTACTAATACCAACCAAAAAATAACGGTTAAATTCATTATTAAATATTTAAATAATTATTTCCTCATGGATCAAAGGTTTACAATTATAATAGTCGATTATTTATGAACCACTTTTTTATAGTCCACCATAAACATTGTCTATAAATGATTTTGGTTCTATGCTGAACTATTATTATTAGTCAGGAAAAAGACACTATGTGCCTGTATTGTATTAAAATAAAAAATAAATAAATAAGAAAAAAAATTACTCGTAAAAAAATAATTATTAAAAAATAAACAAATGATAAAATGGTTCGTGTAAAAGTAGAAACTAAAAGTAATTATTGAAAGTAATATCTCATTTATATTAGTACAGATTAAAATTATTATTAAAATAAAAATAATTATTTATCAATGTACTTATCGATGAATAATTTTGATCCATTATGCACCACTTGTTTAATAGTCAATATTAGACTTTGTTTAGAAAATAAAACATATCTCAAACTCAAAAACATAATTATGCTAAATCGTAAATGTAAAGAATTATCATCCATAAAATTAATTTTACAAAACTAATATTCTTATTACTTTTATACACTATAAATCATTATTAAAATAAAAAATAGGAAGTGATAATTAATGTTATATTAAAAAAAACTAAAATAATACTTATTTTATGACTTTTTTTCTCTTATACAACACTTATTATAAGATAATATTAAAATTTATTTGATTAGTCATACATATTGAGTCAATTACACAATATTTACTCACATAGTAAATATCTTCTACATGATTTTGTCATTAATAATACAATAAAATAAATCAACAATAAATATTAATTACATTATAAATTATTATTATTATAAACATTTCGTACTAATATCATAATTAAAAAATATATAGAAAATCAAATACATAAGACATCTTAATGCTTCATAAATACTGTTACGGTTACACATCATAATTATCCTTCTAATTAACCTTGCCATTAATAGTATAATTAATGAAATAAATAATAAATATTATTGGATAACACAAATCAAATTAAAAGAACATATTTATTTATTTGATAATAATTTTGTCACTTTCAATATTTTAACATATTTACTTTTATATTATAAAAGAGAAAGGCAAAAAAAAATTATGACTTAATTTTTTTCTATACAACATTTATTATGAGATGATATTAAAATTTATTTAATTAGTTATACATATTGAATCGATTTACTTCCATAATAAATACCTTCTACATGATTTTGTCATTAATAATACAATAAATTAAATCAATAATAAATAGTAATTACAATAAATATTTATTACAGATTGTTATTATAAATACTTTCTACTAATATCATAATTAAAAAATTATGCAAAAATCAAATAAGATATCTCAATATATAATGCTTCATAAATACTGTTACAGTTACACATAATATTTATCTGTTTAATTAACCTTGTCATTAATAGTATAATTAATGAAATAAATAATAAATGTTATTGGATAACACAACTCAAATTCATCTTAACTTTTTTAAGTTTAAAATACATGTTTTAATTATACAAATGTTCAAATAACTCGTCTCAATTTATGATACTTCACAAATATTGGTTTTCATACGCATAATAACTATTTTCTACCTAATTTTGTTATTAATAATACGGTAAAATGAAATAACCAAATTAATTAATTGAAAAGTAAGGAAAACATTAAAAGTAAGAACAATTATTATTTATAATACATTAAAAATTTAAAATAAATTATAAAATTGTATGTAATTATATTTTTATATAAAATAATAAATATATTCCTTAATTAAATTATGTACCTAAAAATAATTAAATTATATAAATTTAAAATATCCTTATTTTGTTAACTTAATTATCTTGATATTTTTTATTTTGTTTGTAATACCACCATTATACTAATTAGAGTTAATGGTAGAAACTAAAAAGGAATACTAAAAAAAATGTCAAGGATTAAAAAAAACAAAATATTTTGCAGTGATTAAAACAAGATAGGAGTATATTAGCATATTTAAGTTTAGAGTTTTAATTAAACTAAATAAAAATATATTTAATTATAAGTAATTCATTTAGAATTATAATACGAAGGAAAGAAAATTATATTTATATTTCATTTTATTTAATAATGAATTTTTTTGAGAATTTTGAAATGTTACAATATTAATATATTTTTAATTTTTTATGTTTTGAAATATATTTTATCAACGTATTCTTTAAGAAAAAAAAAACAAAAAATTTAATGTACTAAAACATTATCAAAAGTTTTGAATATATTATATTTAACAAATATCATAATTAATATACTATTAGCAAAGTTGACTGTTTAATAACTTTAAATAATATATTATTAACTATAATATTGTTTAAAATTGTAAATTAATAGATAGATTATTAAATGTCTTTATATATTTATCAATTTAATAATATATCATATTTTAAAATGTTTTATAAACTGTTTCTTTGTAACAATTAATTAAAAAAACTATTTTTTAATGTTTTTGTGTGTTAGTTAGGTATGCTCCAGTTTTTTTGAAGAAAATAAAATTGGTTATTGGTTTGCAAAGATGGGATCTGAATCAGGACAATGTTTCTGGACTATGGAATCTTTCCTCACAATTTGATTCCCTTTTTATCTGCCAATGCAGCTGCAGTGACCTTCCCAAGGGCTTAAGAGTTTTCTCTTGTATTTTCTTCCCTCTTTTTTATTTGTTTTGCGACACCTACCCAAAATGATACCCCTACATATATATAATATATTGAACCATTCAATACATGTTGGTTCTTGTTTATAAGTTCTTACGTGTTGACCTTGATTCATGATCAGCCCTCACATTTCTTTATTTCTTATAATCAAAAAAACATTTAAAATGATATATATAATTCAATTTTAATAAATATATTATGACATGAACTATATAATAATAATATTTATATTTTATTTGGAGAATATATAAAAAAGATATTTTCAAATTACACAATAATTTAAATGTGTAATATATTGATATTCTAACTTAAGTATTATAATATATTTGATTTGATTTTAATTTTTTAATATTAGTTTAGCGTTACAGAAGTGCAGGAAAGAATTATTTTAAGTATTTTCCGTCACACATCAGTTATGAAATTAATGTTGTTTTTATTGATGTTAAAAATGAGACATTTTTACATCGGTTATTATACAGTCAAATATAGAAATGTTTTTTAATCTTGTAGAATTTATCAAAATGAATTACATGCATAGAATTTATCATCAAGGACAAAAAAGCAAAAATGAAAGTTAAACAAGACTTGTTGAATAAAAATGGAAACGAAAGTTAGACAACATGAAATGGAAATGAAAAAATTAGACCAACAATATCAGAAATGGAGTACCTAAATATGATGAGGACAAAGGCTTAGAGAACAAAGAAATAAAAATTGAAAGCGAGGCAAAGGAACCCTAACAAAAATAAAACAAAAAATGATGCAAAAAAAATAGTAAAATAACATACTAGGTGGATGTCATTGGAGATCGTAGCCAATGACAGAATCATGAGAAAATTTATCAAAGATGCTTGAAGCGTCGTTTGAATTGCTGAAAAAGGTTTGCAATAGAGTTTATCAATATTAATTTAGGAAGAAAATGAAAGCAACGAGATAATAGAGATAATTTATTTAAACGACTTTTTATTATTATTATTTTTATATATCAGTTATACATTGGTTAAACCGCCTGTAGCCAAAAACGACATTGTATAATATTGGATCCTTCATAAACGGTAAAAAAGTTATCCAATATTTTAATCATGTCAGTGTAATTTTATTACATCAACTATTTAGTAATTGATGTAAAATATAGATTTGCACTTATATTTTCATTATTTTATTAATATTTAAGACCTATTTAACTACAATAATCACAATTAAATTATGAAATATTCGATCAATAATTTAACCGATTAAATTAATGATGAATTCAATTTTAAAAACACCGGTATCATTCCTTTTCGTTCCAATAACTTAACAATCGCTGCTTAGATCTAATTAACTTTTTTTATTTATTATTATTTTGAAAGGGAAGTGTAAGTGGGTGCCGGATAAAATAATTGGGTAATCAAAATTTATAATGTTTTTAGACTAGGAACCCTTGAATCAATTTATTTTGTATTTTTTTGAAAAGGAATTTATTTTATATTTTTTTTACTTCAATTAATATAAATACCTGATCTAACTTGAGATTTTTTTTTTACATTGAAAGGGGTTCCGTTACGTATATGTGTTGATCTAGATTAATGATTAGCACTAACGTTTGTCACAAAAAGACATTTGGATCATACAAATAAATTTCAATTGATATTTTGCGACGTGAAGTCCTCTGAAGTAGCAAAATGAAATTCCATAGTCTAGGATGTTAACATCATTTTAAGAGTTCAGTTGT